ACATCATTTTCTAGCTCAATCTTAACATGGTCTAATGTCACATGGTCCACTGTTACATCCAATTCTAGTTCTATCTTTACATGGTCTAAAGTCACATTTCTAGCTCTATGATTATGTGGTTTAATGTCACATCAATTTCTAAAACTATCTTTACATGGTCTAATCTCACATCAATTTCTAGCTCTATCTTTACATTGTCTAATGTCACACCAATTTCTAGCTCTATGATTACATGGTCTAATGTCACATCAATTTCTAGCTCTATAATTACGTTGTCTAATGTCACATCAATTTCTAGCTCTATGATTACGTGGTCTAATGTCACATCAATTTCTAGCTCTATAATTACATTGTCTAATGTCACATCAATGTCCAGCTCTATAATACATTGTCTAATGTCACATCAATTTCTAGCTCTATAATTACGTTGTCTAATGTCACATCAATTTCTAGCTCTATAATTACATCGTCCCATGTCACATTATTTTTTTTAACTCTATCATTACATTGTCTAATGTCATATCATTTTCTAACTCTATCTTTATATGGTCTAATGCCACATCTAATTCGCGCTATCATTTGGAGATAGCCAGACATATTTTCGGTACTTTTTGCCATGCTATTTGATCTTATGTTTGAAAAAAAAAATGTTAATTTGAGCATAGTTATTTTAAAATAACATACAAAAAGGATTAACTATTCCATCAATGAAATAAAATTTTGAATCCGTCGATTTCTTAAGACGAACTTCAAATAATTATGGCTTCTGTTTCTAAAACTTCCGGTCAAACTTGCACTTACACCCATTAAGTTTCCATAGTATGACATCTTAGAATATTAGGTTCCGATTGATATTTAACAGATGTTACGATATAGGATTAAAAGATAACTAACTATTCATGTGGATCATAAATCTATCTAATTTCAATGATAACCATACAGATGGTACCAAAATGCAGGAATCTTAAAATATGAAGAGTAAATATTACGTAACGTCCGTAACGATATGTAATTGTTTTGATAAAACTAATTAGACAGTTTATTAACGGTCATCCAATTACAAAAACTATTCAGGCCGGTCAATGGTAAACCTTCTTATCTGAAGTTTTGTCTATGGGAACCTACCAGGAAACTAATCACACACATGTGGATGCGCGAGATAGCCATTATTCCCAGATATGGAGAGCACGCGCCGTGACGTCACGTGGTACCGGGGTAAGGAGAATAAGTATCAGTGTTACGTTCACTTTCGAGCATCACTCGGTGTAGCCCGGTCGTCTGCTTGTAGTCCAAAGACTGTTTTAGATTTTAGGGACCCTATTCATCACATAAAGGTAAGAGAAATATTACTAAAACTGCTAGAATTCGTTATCGTAATGATTGTGTATAGTTTTAAGAAAAAAAAAACAAAGCGTTAAAAAGTTCCACGGAGGTCGTTTAGTTTCGTTATCTACAGAGCAATACAGTTGGAAGCAATCGTATGATCAATTTGTTTCATATTGTTAAATCTTGCTTTTGAGTGAAATGTATAAATAATGGATTTGACGTATATCTTTCTGTCTAAATTCCGGAATTTATAATTCTGGCAGATCTTAAAACGGTTCATTAACATTTGGAATAAGTCTACATTTTCCAGACATTTTCGTTAAGTTCGATTCCAAGAGTCTATTGTGGCTACTACGACTCATTTTTGGTGGTAAGATGTAGCGAGTTTTTGTCGATTTATGCTTGGAGTAAACATTCTAATAGATAAGAAACATACCATCTGAAGCCAAATACAGGCACCGTAACGGGATATCATACCTTGTAGTCGTGCTTATCAAGTCTCTTTACTAACTTTCTAATCTGAGACTGTGAGGAAATACTGGATATCAGATGATGAAAGTGCATGGAATAATGTGGATTATTACCTACTGGCGCGAAATATCATGTATTAGATGTGATGACAATGCAGAAATGTGTGAATTAGGTTAACCATAAAAAATGGACCAATAATGAAGCGTTACAGGTAAACGACATAGCCGCCATCTTGAAATGCCAAGGTCGTCTGCTATTCACGTGAAGGTGAATAAATGTCAAAGGCAATTCTATAATTATCTTCTCGTTGGAATTACGTGTTAATTATTTGAATGAATCTGACTTTTTGCTAATTAACCGTGATCTTAATAAATTTTTATTTCATTTAGGAATAATAACTTTATCAGCACAACTTCGAAGTCGCTCTGGAGATAAATGCATGATTGTTGGCATCATGTCAAAAATGTCATTTTCCTTCCCTTGCTCTTGGCTTCGATTCCAAATGTGGTTCTATGTGTTATAGAGTAATTGATATTGATGTTCAGCACATTTTCCCAATGACTACATCGCCTTCTATCCTCGTCGTTTGACATTTCGCCTTTCGAACACCTTTATATTTCATTGCATATCGGTTATTGACGCTCTAAAATGCACTTAGATTTTATCAACAGTCGTTTCCGCTAAGTAGATCAAAGATAAAAATTGGCAACATTTTAATAGAAATTTCAGCTGAAAGGGACAAAATTTTATATGCTTCAAATTTCAACTGACTAGGAAATATATTAGTAACTTTTGAATATAATAATTTAAAATCGAAGCCGCTTTTCACAAAAAGATACGCGAGAGAATTATGATATCTATGTAAATATTTTGAGAAACGTGTAGCCGTCAAGCATTCCGACAAATAGGTTTTGCCGACGAAAAAAGTGAAATCAACCCTATGCCAATCAAATCAGATATCAGCAGATATGCTTTTTTTTCCATAATAACATTTGGCATATCACCTGAAAGATCAAAAGATTATGATCTTTGATGCAAATATGGCGAACGTGGTATGGCGGTTATCAAACTGTCAGATCTGTGTACTCGAATATCCAGACGGATTACTACACGGTAAAATGCACTACAATCAGAATCATTATTATCAGTCGTCTCGAATTACAAGAGATATTTATAGAAAGAGAAGTGTGGTACGATAGAGATAAAAGTTAAGTGGTCTAAGGTGCGTTACTACTGGTATTTATCACTCGTCAGATAATAATTTGTATACGCTACCAACATTTCTTATATAAATAATAAAACTTATATAAAATACGATAGCTTTTTCTGAAATTTTTGTATAAAGTTTTGATATAAACAGATTCCTTGAATAAAAGACAAATCAAATTGATGCCAAAATTGAATTTTTTTCAAGAAGCCTTAAACATCTTAGTCATTGGAAATCTAAATCTAAAAGTCATATTTAGGATACAGCAACTTGAACTAATTGTGTCCAAAGTCCCACATTGGCTGTATAATGAACTAAATTAAAAAATTGCTCCAAATGCATAAAATATTATAATTTATGCACATAATTTTAATTTATTCAAAAGTATGATTATCAGCTCATTTGACACTCAGAAAGTAATTAAAAGTCGCGACTAAGTTAGGAAAATCTAGGTTAACGAACTAATTGGCAAATTTTCAAGACGGTGAAGGTGGCCCAGTGGTTTTAATTACTTGACTTAAGTTAATTGTAAATTAAAATGAAAAATTGTAATTAATAATGGTGATAGGAAGTCAATGGTTGAAAAGTGAGTGAACATATGGTACACGGGGTAATGTAGATGAGTAGATATATCAGGTGTATGATAGGATATACATTCTTGTCTAGAGGTGTACTATCATATTACACTTTTATTCCACACATACCTGATAGTTCGTTACCATGGAAACTAGCTCATCATGGAACATTACACCTACACCTATATTTATAGATTCTATGGCCGCCATTTTGTTTTCTTTTGTGAACTTTGGTGAAATTTTCGATAAAAATGTTTTGGAACTGATATTTTTATCGATAGAATTTATAAATGCTCTGCCTCGGTGATTCTATACGAAGGTCCATGTTACGTTTTAATTCTAAAAGCTGATAAAATTCCAAATTGTAGAGTAAAAAGTAAGCAAGAATTTTGTTACTTCGTTTACAATTTAACTTATGATTTCAATTTTTCTTTCTTTTTCAGAACCAAAAATGGCAGAAGAGGTAAGCGATTGGCGATATGCATGTTCTGTCTTGTTCTCTTTCTTCTTTCTTATAAAAAATAGTGTTTGCAGGGATATAAACTTTATCTGGATTAAGCTATAACGACAATTGTTGCAAGTATTTAGATAATCCATGAATTTATAAAGTTGAGTTCAACAAGTATGGACTAGTTTACTTTTAGAACTAATCGAAAAAAATATTCCGATTTCATTTCTTTTCTCTATTCTTCTGTGTGTTTTTTGTGTGGTGTTGTTTTCTGTTAATCTTTAAAATATTTGGATACACGCTGAAGGTATAGTGGTATTTGGTTATAATGATTTTTATGAACTGTCCAGATTGGAGGATGGCTAGAAATTGGATGTGTCAAAGGCAAAGAGATACTAACTGGATTTAGCTGTGTGAATCCATGGCCATGATCCTAACGGCAACCAGAGAAACGATTGAGAAGCCCTTATGCATGAGATCAGTTTGAAATTTAAAACCCAATACATATTGGCTGACCTTTGATGGTAATTTAATACAGATCTTACATGCTGAAGTGCACGATAGTTTATAGATGTAGTTTTAGATTAGATGGTAGATGGTAGATGTCTGAATTAGAAGTAGAATTGTAGATATCCTTGGTTCTTTCTGAGAATGCCTAAAAAATTTAGATTTCTCATCAAAAAATATAATTTCAAAGAGGCATTTTTCAGGAAGAACACAAGCAAATTATCACAATATCTTATTTCTCAATTAACAGAAAAAGGGCGCCCTCGCCAAAAAGACTGATCCTAAAAAGCCGGATCCTAAAAAACCCGAACCTAAGAAGGAAGAAGCCAAAAAGGAAGAACCTAAAAAGGAAGAACCACCAAAGGAAGAACCAAAGAAAGAAGAACCTAAACCTTCTGGTGGTGGAGGTGGTGGCCGGGCTGCTCGCACAGGTTCAAATATCTACCAAAAAATTCCGCAGAAAACCATGCAGGAAATGAAAGAGGTAGGCGATCTCCCAAAGATCATTTTCTTCTAGACACCCTATTTTAAATGGAATCTACGTTTTATAATTTCAGGCAGTCAAAAAATCCAAAGAAGGAGAAAAAAGTGAGCCAAAACGCGCTCAGCGAGCAACTTCCAACGTATTTGCGATGTTTCGCCCAAACCAAGTACAGGAATTCAAAGAGGTGCTTTAAGTCTACAATAGCATGATGAAAATTTCAAATTTATTCAAACTAACGATATTTTTATTTCAAACAATTTGGACTAATCTAACACTGAACGCGATCGAATGCATGAACGATATCTTTTTTAATCTCTGCTAAAAATTTATTTTCACAGTAATTTTTTTTATTATATTTTTGACACCTGGCTAATATCTTTTTCTGTAATTTCTATCTAATCCGCATTATTGTAATCCGATTTAACCAAATCCGTATAATCTTGAGTCGGTTCGCCTCATCTGTGCTGTGCTTGCTGCAGCGAATATGCGATGTCACCTTTTAAATCAATAAATTGGCTACGTGAGATGCGCATCACGGACAAAAGTTGCTATTTGTTATAAAACATGAACATAACCATGTACACATAATGCCTAGTGTACTAAGTTCCCTTGCCCCACTGTGCCCCCAAAGGAACAGGTAATTTGGTGACTTGAAATGATCCCTGCTTTTAGTCAACCGCTATAGTATTTTTCGTTGTGGCTTGCGTATTATTTTTTATTTCATAACATTTTTTTTTATTTCATTATTTTTTTTTCATTTATTAAGCCTATTTATTTTTTGTTAAATGTCTGCCACTGTGTAGCGCCCCAGTGAATAACGGCAATGCTAACGTTCGCATTTTGACAGCGTCCTGCTCGCTCCCGCATTCCCTTTGATGCACTTATAGCGCCAATTAACATTTATTTAATATTTCTTTAGATTATGGACTAATGGTATAACAGACCTATTGTCTAAGAAGCCTGAATAAAAACTCTAATCATTCAACAAAAATTTAACGACATTTTTCAATTTTTTGGAACTTTTTCGGATTTTTTATAAATTGAATGATTTGTTGTTTTTTTTTTACTAATTTATTAATTTTGATATATAATGTTAATGTATTTTAACCAATCACAAACTAACAATTAATTCAAATTTGTATCAATTTTCCAATTTTTATCGTATAGAGATTTTTGTAAAAATTAGATTAAAGTATATTTTCTTGTGCCAGAAAACAACGTATTATCCCCCTTTAATGGGCCTTAGCCTAGCTTTCAATGTGTAGTAGCAATGTGAATATTCTATGGGATACTAACTATATTTTGCCCAAATTATCATGTACTAATTGCTACCGTTTTCCAAATGTTCCCATCACCCACCTTCAATGATATGATTTCATGTACACGTCCACCATTTTTCAATAGTTAGAATTGAGAATATTTGATGACATTTTCTTCAGGCTTTCACCATGATCGATCAAAATAGAGATGGTATCATTGATCTTGAAGATCTTAAAGATATGTACTCTAACTTAGGTAAATAAAGTTTAGTTATTGGTTCAATCCTTTCATAGCACATAGCCCTTTCCGACCTTAGAATGTGACGCATCTAACACAGTTTTCGGAAGTGAAGTGAGACGGCAAACCAAAAGCAAAGATTAGTCATTTTCATCAATATAATCCTATTTGTTCGTAGTCATGAACTTGTTTCAAGAAAGCATCATAATATGTCGTCTGGCTCACAATTAGCCTAATATCTGAATAGGATATATATTCGAAAAGGATGGATGAAAAAGAACTTGTGATTGTGTTTCAGGTCGAATTCCCCCAGATTCAGAATTAAATGAAATGTTGAAAGAAGCCCCCGGTGCCCTCAACTTCACAACGTTCCTTAACTTGTTTGGTGAAAAATTGAGTGGTACTGATCCAGAAAACACAATCATTGACGCCTTCGCCATGTTTGATGATGAGGCCAAGGGATGGTTACCAGAAGAATAGTAAGTACAAACAGAGCAACTTTTTTGAATCAAGAGCTTTGAAATTGGGGAAAGGTTTTGGCATTGGAAACATAGTCCCTAGTTTGATTGAGACGGAGGTAAAATTTTAGTTTGACCTAATTCTTGGAAGAGCATCTGGTTTAGCACTACAACAAGCTTTCAAAGAGTGGTTACTAAGTTCTCCATATCGCTTTGGGGTTATCATTTGGTTTCATCCGGAAGCTGCATATTACTATTCAATATAAGGATAATATTCATATAGTCTTCCACCCGGTCGGATGTTATGAGACCTTTGTATTGCACAGGATTACAGCAGACTTAATGTAACATACTATAACTAAACTATTACTTAATCGAGAACTGTAAACAGTTATCCAAATTCATAGACCTTAATAATAATAGTAATAAACTTTTTATTTTACATGGGTGAGAATTAGGTCCAATACATACGGACTTGGACCTGTCTAACATTCAGCCCATGTTATATAAGGCCTGGTATCACTTTCGTGCCAAAAAGGATAGCCTCTCTGCTTCTTGATATAATAGGATTGCATTCTTATTTTCAGTTTGAAAGATTTACTCCAGAATATGGGTGATAACTTCACACAAGATGAGGTGGGTAGTTTATAAGATTTATTGCTGATATTAGCTCAAAGCAAAAATCGCAAAATTCAAATTCAAACATATGATCATAGTATATGATTATGGCCAAACAATCAAAATGCATTATACACCCAAGAAACAAGCTACATATGTTTCAAAATTTGGAATTATTTGGTCACAAAGATACTTATTTTATTCAGATTACCAAAATTGTTAACAATCGTTCATTTGGTTTCAGATTAAACAAACGTGGAAAGAAGCCAATATAGAAAAAGGTAGATTTGACTACAAAACTTTCACTGGTTTGATCAAGGGTAAACAGTCAGAAGATGAAATAGCTGCATAAAGACGAATACCATCCATAAACAATATATTATAATCACCCCACCTATCGCGTGTGACCCTCGGGCAATTAGCATGCTCTCAGGGTAGAACTCTTTTTAACTAGTGTCTTGTGACATAGATAAGACTGAAAGCAGCTGAGAGGATCAAACGCGACCAGGGTGTACTATTTATAGTGATATGAAAATTTAGAATATAAAAAAATGATTTATTGAAACAATTGATGCAGGAATCTTCCGGGCCAAAGAGTGTTCAGCATTCCATTACTGATATTTGTTGAGAGCAGAACAGAAGTTTCAAAATTTTAAAATAAATAAATAAAGTCTCCCGGGCTCCATCATCGAGCGCTCCTAAGTCACTCTGCAACTTTCGGCCATCGCTTCTGTTCATGGTATGTGTTCGTTCTACCTTGCGAAAGTCATAAGATACGGTATCGTTTGACCGAGGTTCGCCTCATCCTTCTGTTGGCCTGGAAGGTTCTAGATCATCTTGTCTTAAGAAGGAAAAAATCCCTTACCCTTGAAATAGAACTAGTTGAATTTTCCCCCCTTTTGTCCTTTGACAATTTCCATGGAAATTGACCTTCTCTTTCATCACTGTATTCTGTGTATACATTTCATATTTATTATTATTTATCTGGGGCATGGTACCTATATATTCAGGCCGTTCGAGTCCAAACTTACCCCCCTACAACGAAGGATATTTGAATAAATTCTGTTATTTGTATTATATGTAAAGTCTGATCTGTTGTTTCTATTGTAAGATACATGTGTTAAATTACATTACATACATACACTGTACCGAGCATTGTGTGATCTATTTAGATTAAGCGCTTAATTTACAGTAAGCAAGTACTTGCTACTGGGATGGGGCTAAATACCATCTGAAGCTTCCCATCTTCTGCATGGCTTTTACCTGATGTGGATTGTTTTTTTTATGTGTCCTAATTTATTAATAAAAACCTGTGCACAGAGAAACAGTCGTCTTATTCTTTACACCTAAATGATCATAACATTTAACCGAGTTCGTTGTCTATCCTCGAGATTAAGACTTGACCAATCGTACCTTAGTCTCAGAAACGGGGATTTATTTTAAGCTAACCTTATCAGAGATAGTGTACACAGCTCACTATTGAATTTTGAGCCTTCAAATCCATGTGTGTCCAGAATTATCAATATATGGAAATAGTAAATGAAACTTCTAATTTATGAAGGAATTGTGTGATGTTCCCACACTTCTAGTATTTCTGAAAACTATTTACATGTATTCAAGACCCAAGTCAGCCCCCGAAAATGGCGCATCTGTCCCTTTAAAGGGATTGTAACGAGGTTTTCTAAATTTCTCATGTGTATCGGGGACACCGAGATTAACAATTTGCACCATTCCGATTTCCAGTCTGGTTTCTACAATTTCACATAACTTTAGTGTTTTGATGACGTCACTTATCGCAAAATTTGCTCTTCGTGGTTAGTGACGTCATCAACCACTTACTTTAGTGGGATTTCTGGAACGCGAACGTCTCTTTCAAAATTGGAATGGTGAAAATTGATGCTTTCAGTGTCCCCGATACACAAACAATTTTTAGAAAATCTCTTTACAATTCCTCTAAGTTTAAAGGATTGACATTATGATGCTGGATTTTAGTTGTGGTGATATCCACACAGAATAGCTTTTGGCCGAATTTGGCATGTTTGAAAGGATGACCATTAGACGAAACATAGTGAATAGCTTTCTTTATTACTGTGCGACTAGCCAACACGAATAAAGAAAATACACAGTACCATCAAATAATGTGGTAAATGGAAGAGCACTTTGATGCACTTTGTAAAATGAAGTTCTGCTTCTTCAAAATACGACCTTGCGATAATTAGATGCAGAGTTTGATTCGTGTTCCAAAATAAGAAAAGTACTACTTCGTGGTATTCATTAATTGAAGAAATGGTTATGGGGATATTTATATTTCAAAAAGTATATTGATATATCTATGGCTTATAAATTCTTGATACAGAGTGACGTTGGCCAGTTTTGGGGGTGGATGTGGGCCTCGAATATTATGTAAATAGTCTTCTGAAGTACCAAAACTGTACAAATATCGCATAATTCCTTCATATAGGTCTCAAACAAGAAATTTTACTTTTCATTTATTTCGTTCACAAGCATATCTTCTCTCTGAGAATTGGGGTATCCGAAAGTTAAACGTCGTCAAAGACGCCATGTTGATTTAGTCTCTGACACCCAGATATATTTCGTCACAGCTGTGAGTAGACGAAGTAGGACTGGATGATTAAGTCTACTGTAAACACATGACGACATCAACGTATATTTAAAATATAAAATTTCGTAAAAGAAAGAGTCGATTTTTTTTACTTTCAAAGGCAAATCTGTGAATACCTTAACCGATTAGCTAAGCTGTGAATACCTTAACCGATTAGCTAAGCTGAACAATTCCCGTTTCTGAGACCAAGGTAGGCTTGACCCCCGAAAATGGCGAATCTATCCCTTTAGGCTCGTACGAGTCAAGGGTGATAACTTCGTTTCAAATTTGAAAAAAATCGTCACATACTGCCAAAGTTTAACTTCATGTTAATTATATATTATATATCACATACCTATATTAGCCTACAAAGCTATAATATGAAAATCTTTTGAAAATAAAAGGATATCATGCTTATTTATAAGTCAGCTTTGTAATATCATTATATTGCCGTCGCACCGTCCACAATAATTGGCAACAGTTTTTGTTTTTATACAATTTTGTCTGCAGGATGGTATCCACAATATATACTGGAACGCAAAAGGGGCAACAGTTGTTTTCAGATTTTTATCAAATTTGGTGTTAAGCTTTTTAATAACCCAAGAGGTGTGGATAAATTCGAATTTGAGCATTATCCGACTATCATATAGAGAGTAACAGTCCTTGATAGTATGCAAGATAAGAGTGGCTAGTGAACGCAAGCCAACAGTTTCTGCCAGAATTGTATAAAATTTGGTGTGTAGGCAAGGGTCCACGAGATCTCGGATGAGTAATATGTTAGAACGATTTGACAAAGTTTACCTTAATGACAGGCCCTCAATCGACTGAAAATATGTAAATTGAGTGATCGAGATAGGGGCAACGGTTGTAAGAATGTGATAAAATCTGATGTGTAGCCTCATATTCACAAGATCTCCGATGAGTTCGAATTTGATAATTCGAGATTTGAGAGTTGCGAGAGTTGGTGTATTGGAAATTTATTGATGAAGTAGGCGCATCTTGTTTTCAAACGCTTGTCAATATTCAAATACCTTAATCGGACCTCATTTTATTTTCGTGAAGCGTAAAATTTCGGAAATATCTGGTCACAAGTTCAATAACTGTTTCTAATTATCGCTAAAACTAGATCCTTAAACGGACAGATTCGCCATTGTTTTACTAATCGTAGCTTAAGTCTCAGAAACGGAAATTGTTTAGCTCGGCTAATCAGTAATAGTGTTCACAGCTCACCGTCAAATCAACGTGTGTCCAGAATTATCCGCGTTTGAAAGTAGAAGACGACTCGTCTAAATAATACATTGAAAATAAAGTGCAATTCCTAGTTTGAGGTATTATGGGAATTATGGGGCTTTTATTTGTCAATAAACAATAAATAAAATGATTGAAAAAGGTTTTGTACATTGTGTATATTATGTATCAGGGACACTATTTGCATCAATTTGAACCATTCCAATATTCAATGAAACGTCTATGGTTCCTATTTATACTAGTGTTTGATGGCCTATATAATAAAAACATATTCTGACTTTCAAACACATAATGTGGAATTACAGGAATCACAGACTGAAAATTGGAATGGTGCAAATATTGATGCCATCAGTGTCCCCGATACACATAACAAATTTAGAAAACCTCTTTATAATCCCTTCAAGATGGGAATCCATAAATAAACTTCCATGGAAATTGGTCTTCAATGAGCATGACCACATCCGAAGAGTGTCAGCATTGTTTTGTGACCAGGTCGGGTTCCATACGAGTCATTTGGTTATGGATGAACTGTATTCATTCATATGGTATGAGGAACTATTATGTATTGCATCCATTTAGCAAGCAGATGGTGCTTGACACAATAAGCGTTTTTTTACATTCTGCTAGCTAACTGGACTGCATGCCAAGTAGCGAAGGCAAATTCAGACCTCGTGTTGCTCACAGATATCAGAATAATGACATCGATTGCAGATTGACACTAAGACATAAAAATTCAAATACAAATATGTTTTGTTTTAGGAATTTATTGATAAATTAGGACAAACATTTACAAATATCACCTCTGAATCTCTGTAAACAGTATTCAGTTTTAAAATGTCACATGATTATCAGACACAAAAAAAGTTCTACCCTCATTTTAACTATCTGCACTGACGTCTGTCGAATTTGGCACAGAAATTTCGATGATATACATGAAAACAATTAATCGTGGTCATTGATGGTACGAGTCACACCGTTCCCTTTAGGCTGCCTACAGAGATGGTTGTATTGGAAACAGTCCTTGAATATTCTTACAAATTCATTTGAATCGAACTACATTGCATTCAAATTCGATAGACGACATTGAAAAAGCAAGCCATTTCTTGAGGGTCACACACGCGATGGGTAGGTTGATTACAGGTAGATGGTTTACGTTTTTATGCAGCCATTTCTTCTTCGGTTTGTTTACCCTTGATCAAACCAGTGAAAGCTTTGTAGTCAAATCGTCCCTTTTCGATATTGGCCTCTTTCCATGTTTGTTTAATCTGAAAACAAAACAGCAAGTATTAATGTTTTAACCAAGATGAATGGGTTTGAAAAGGTATAAAGATAACAACCAAGCATGCTCTAATGGATTTCTGCAGGCAGCTGGTCCTGTCCAAACCTCTTTGCAAGGATTTTCCTTTGTTTATGCTGTGGGTCGATTTTATTGGATTTTATGTGTAACAAAGTGATGCTAGCCGGGTTTATAAATTCTAAAATCTTACGTACCTCATCTTGTGTGAAGTTATCACCCATATTCTGGAGTAAATCTTTCACGCTGAAAGTAAAGGATTATCATTAACTATTGGGCAATAGGAAAGATCGAGAAGAAGCACTTGCCAAACCTTTACAAACTCAGAAATCGTAAGAACAGATGTGAGGCTATTGCTCTCAATAGTAGGTTCTAGTTACGGTCGCAATCGCAAAATAATTTGGGGAAACAATAGTTCTTATCGGGCGTATCCAGCGCATTTCTGTATAAATGTGGGTTTCTATGCCAAAGTTCAAAGCAGATATAAATACTTACTATTCTTCTGGTAACCATCCCTTGCCCTCATCATCAAACATGGCGAAAGCATCGCAAATAGTGTTTTCTGGATCAGTACCACTCATTTTTTCACCAAACAAGTTAAGGAAATTAGTGAAGTTTAATGTACCAGGGGATTCTTTTAACATTTCTTTCAATTCTGAATCTGGTGGAACTCGGCCTGTTAATTAAAACAAGATTAGGATTTTTTTTTTATGTCAAGACATGTTCATATTTTCATAAACGAGGAACGACACTTGCGCCATTTATTGTAAATGGTGATACTATAATTCATTCTAATAATTCTTTGCTTTTGGCACTGGCCAAAAGTGGGAAAAAGTTTGGTGGGACAAAAACATATCACGAATGGCATTCGGATTCCCAGCAGTTGTGCAATCTCTCCATTGGCTGCCGTCCATCTTAAAACTAAGTAAGGATCGGCATGATAGACAATGAAAAGTAAAAGTGTATTTACCAAGATTGGAGAACATATCTTTTAAATCTTCTATATCAATAACACCGTCTCTATTCTGATCAATCATGGTGAATGCCTGAAGATAAGATGTCAAGACTTAATATAGTTACTCTTGTTTTTCATCCATAAATTTACATCTTACAATGATGTTATCAAATTGTTTTTGCACAAGTAAAACGTGGTTAAGAGTTTAAAAGACTATCTTTTTCCAGTAGAGAGCGACTTATCAGATGTTTTAAAGAATTTTTCAGTTTTTTGTCTAATGTTTTTATGCAGCAGACAAAAAGTTAATCTTCGTATAAAATTCATACTTACTTCTTTAAATTCTTGAACTTGGTTTGGTCGGAACATTGCTAAGACATTGGTGGGTCTTTTGGTTTCTTCCTGAAAACAACACAGAAAAGCGTTCGATTTATGTTATCGGATCTTCACGAGTCAATCGGGTTTTGAATGGTCTTTCGGATTGGTCTCTCGATATCTCGAAGATAGTGGGAAAACGATCAAGTTTGTTCAAAATGAATTTGTTCTACTGAAAATCAATTCGCTTACCTTTTTGGGTTCCTCTTTTGCAGGCTCTGGCTTTTTGGTGTCAGCCTTTTTGGTAGCGGCTCCTTTTTTCTATAAGTGATAAAAATTCATAATTCAATACTAATCCTGAGGGCAAAATTTAAAATTTAGATTATAGTACTGTATATGAATGAATATAATAAATTCGTTACCAATTATGCAATATTGCATGAAATATGCTGCGGATCTTGAACGAATCTATCTTTTTTTGTTTTTTTGAGCTAATATTGAACAGCGAAGTCAAGAATTGGCACAAAAGCTATGATTTAGAAATCCCGCTGAATTTGTATGGAAGCTCAAGTTTCACGATATGTGCTCATGAGATTCTGTGTTTGTTTTTGCCATCTCTGCTCTGAAGATAGGAACGAACAAAATTTGATTGTCTTGAATATCAAAGAAAGTTTCTATAAATTCAAAACACAACTTGTGTATTGTAACTTAAAATGCCGTAGTATAATCTACAATGAACTTTATAAGAACCTATTATTTCTGAAGAGGGTACAAATTTCAAGTTTCTGCAGATAGCTAAAACTGCTGAGTTGAGTATATCAAAAAACTTCTAAGTGAAATTAACAAATTTCATCATATAACTAACAATTTCAGAATGTAGCTGATAATAATGTAATCAACAGACACCATTATTCGTCTTAAACTCATTCTAAAATTTAGTTCCTATATTATTTACAATGCAGGATACATTATATGCTGATAAAGAAGACCAACTGCTGGTACATGTGAGCGTTTTCTTAATTCTTATCATTCAGAAGTTTCGTAAATATTTCAGCAGGCCAGACAAAAACAGTTAAATAACTTGAAGATAGTACTTTAGTGAGAAGAACCTTCAAATTTTGCCAAGTTTATACAACGTACTCTAATTACTTTACAATCTGATATTCGAATTATATAGATCTCTAATTATTCGCCTATACCGTCGACAGAACTTCAGTTTTAGCAATAAGCTATCGTATTAACGATGTCGGTTTGGAATTCGTGACTACGTTAAACTTCCATGGGTAGTGATATCTTCTTACTAACATACTGGCAGAAATGCAAAATGCATATTTCTACGAGCATGTTAAGTTATATATTGTGATATGTCTTAAGTATTGATACCATTACTTTGGCAAAAATTGGGTTTAGGTAAATGGGAGAAAAAATAGTCAAAATGTTACTTAAAGTCATGGTTACGTTCCCGAATTCGTAAACGTTTCAACTTCAGATTTGAAAAAAAGTTATCAGGCCTGATCGCTTTATGACCTTGAGCGATATTCCACAATAAATTTTCGATTATAGATATTTCTTTACTCAACTGTTACTTCAAATGAAATGTTCAGTGCATTTCATAACATATTATGTATTGCAATTTGTAATTACAAATCCATAATTCGAAACTATGTGCAAGGTTGCTAGGTCTTTCTTCCAAACACTCTTGCAAACCAATTCCTAGATAGTTTAGTTAATGAAAACTAGAAGGAAACTGTGAGTATTCAAACAAATAGCACTTTCGAATAAAATTCCTGAAAATGTGGAGAAGATTACTAGTATGTGGGAAGAGGGAAGCAAAGAGGGAAAATTCTAGGTTCTTACCAGATCTGCCATTGTAGAAGATGATTGTGTATTCTCAGATACTCAAATGTTAATGAAATTGAACGGTAGCAGAACGTTTTTATAAGGGTAGCGTCATGACGTCACAGTGCGAATTCTGCAACGTCTGCTACCTAAGAACCCACATGTGTAATTAGCTTCCCGGGGCGTTCATGCAGTTACAGACAAATCTGCAGAATAATCCAGGATGATGCCAAGTTTGAACAGTTGTAAATTACATAATAATGATGGGTGATTATGATTTGATACGATTAAAATAATTTAAATGACCTATATTGCGTAATATTTGTATATTGCAGTATACTATTAGCTAATTATTAGTAAAGATAATATGCCATTAGTCTGTAGCGATAAAGTATCTTAATTAATAACACGTGTTTAATATTCTCTCGAAGTTACATCTGATATTACACAGTGTCTTTTGGCACCATACGGAGAGTTTACATCTCACCAATCATGCTAATCATAAAAAGTTGTTCTTTGGAAAAAGATGATAATTTGAAGAGTATTACTGATGGTTTTCTCACTTTTATTGAAAAAATTTTGCATTACGGCATCGATAGATGACAAAAATACACAATTTAATCAAAACAAGAATTAAAAATGAAATGGGGCCATTATGGGGCTTGTTTTGGGTCTTGAATATATCAAAAAATATTTCAAAAGTATTAGAACTGCACGAAAATCGCACAATCTGTTCAAATTAATCTAATAGTGTTATAATGTCTTGTTATGATAGAGTCTCAAAAAAGAGACGAGTCGTCATTTAACTTTGAAACGCGGATAATTGACGACACACATAGATATGAATGCCCAATTTTCAACGGTGAGCTGTAACCACTATTACAGATAAGCAAAGCTAAGAAATTCCCGTATCTGCAATAGGTCAAACAATTTTTGTGAACTTGAATATAAGCTTCAAAACGGTTTTGTTAGTCTAAGAATGCCAGTTAACATTGTATGCAAACATATTTCCCTCTCGGAAATTTTACCCGACAATGTTCCTAATCTTGACTGCATATTGTCCTTCGTAGAAAAAGATTCAAATTAATATTGTGCGCTCACGTTTATAATTTTATCAAGGAAAAGTTATTCTGATACAAATAGTATACTATTTAGAAGCTAATATTTCAATCATTATGAAAATATCCGGTGAAATTCGACATATAAACTGTCTTGCGAAGACTGAAGGGTTATACTGTTAGGGTCTTGCTTTACACGATCAAAATAAGTACTTTATAGCTGGTATATCACAATCGTTAGAATAAGTTATCTATAAGTTATCATAACGTTCTTTATGAGTCTACACTACGTTATGTATAAGTGCAATTCGTTGTAAAAACTATAAGCATACGCCAACATATAAAAAAAAAAGTGTTCAGTGTATATCAACATTTTTAAGGAATATTAATACACTGCGTTACGCTGTCTAAATCGTCAAGGTTGGACCATTAGTGTCAGATACTAGGCTCATCGGTAATAGTGTGTACAGTTCACCGTCGAAATCTAAGCCTTCAAATCCATGTTTGACAAGAATTAGCCGTATTTGAAAGTTCAAATGACAACTCGTCTTTTCTTGATACTTCACCATATATAGAAAAGACAAACAAAAGAAATAGAAAGTCATTCTAGGTTAAAGTATATTTGAAGGAAGTATGTGATTTTCGTGAAGCTCTAGTAGTTTTGAAAACTGTTTAACATATTCAAGATCCAAATCTCCCCCGAAAATGGCGAATCATGACTTTTAAAGAGATAAGGTTCGCCACCCGTTTGACCAATTGTACTTTTTATCTGATTAGTATTAGAAACGGGATTTTTTAAAAGTAGTGTTCACAGCTCACTGTCAAAATTTGGGCCTTTTAATCCATGTTTGTAAAGAATTATTCGTATTTGAAATTACTACTCGTATTTTCTTGAGACTAGGTAGTATTATATATAAATAGGTAGAAGTCTATTTGAAGAAATTATCCAAAGACTATTTACATATATTCAAAACTTAAATCAATCTCCATGACCTTACAGATAAAATTAAGGACCAGTGTCCATTAATTTAGTTATTAAAATACTTAAATATTAAAATGTACTTAGCAAAGGGAAGTAACACGATTGTTGAATATAGGACTAAGACCACTAAAATATTTTGCATAAACTGGTTGAATGTTGTCTGCGCTATTTCAAATTTGGTACAATTTGGGCGGACGGAGGAAGATTCGAAATTTCATTCAAAGTTGTTTCCTGTCTTTACTCGAAAAACTGAGCAAATCTAGTCTATTTTGTGCAAGATAACTCAAAGTTTGAAGCTATCCATCCTCCATAACACATCGCAATCGCACTTACGATCTGCCTACAGTAACGGTTTCAGTAAGAGCTCCAGGAAACAATCGGCCATATACCACAGGTATATTCAACTGGTTGGGCCGTCGTGAAAGTGCAAAGTTTGGATTTTTCAAAATAGTGAAAATCGGCCAAGTAGCACAGGTAGCTGCCTATGGGTCAAAAATCCAATTGTTGGTCAATTCTTATGGGTCTTAAAAATCGATGTAACTTGGTTTTTTGGAATCTAAATAAGAGTCCTCCAATGTACATAAAAGTAAGATCTGAGCACTTTAATTTTTTGGGGAAAAGTGCCAAAATTTTCTGTTTGTCATAGAGAAATCTGAAACGCTCAGTACTTCCAAAGTAAAAGAGATACAAATTCGCAGTTTGTGGCATTGGATAGCTAAGATTTCAAACTAGTAGCTGTGTAAATTTCATCACCCTATCTCAACTGGTTTGACCGTGGTGAAGCTGCAAAGTTTCGATTATCAAAAAAGGCAAAATTGGCAAATTTCTACAGGTAGCTACCTGTGGTACCAAAATCCATTTTTGGGTCGAATTTTTTTGTTCTCGGAAATCGATGTAACCCGGTTTTTTGGACTCGGTGCTTCTCTAGCTCTCCCCCAATGTGCATAAAAGTGAATTCTGAGCACTTTTTTTTTTTGCAGAAAAGTGCCAAAAAATCCGGTTTTTCATGGACAAAACTAAAACGCCCAGTGCTTCCAAAGTAGGGCAGATATGGAATCGCGGTTTGTGGCACTGCAAAGCTAAGATTTCAAACTAATACCTGTCAAAATTTCATCATCCTATCTCAAGTGGTTTGGCCTTGGTGAAGCTGCAAAGTTTCGATTTTCAAAAAAGGC